TGCATGTTATATTTCATTTGTTAATTCATTTACAATTACTGACTGTACTTCCTATAAATTTCCATTGTGCAGTCACCATACAGAGTGACAAAGGGAGGTATAGAAAGTCTTCTAGACTGTGTAATAAATGCACTGAAGTTAGGAAGAAGACATATTACCATGATGTAAAATATTGGGGCTAGAGAGTGAGAGGTGGTTTGGTCAGAGAAATAGAAAGAAGCCAGTTCAGGAAGGTCCGTGAGAATTATGCAATCACTCAAGTTTTGAGTGTGGTGCTGTAGGACTCCAGACTGTCGACTGAAAGGTCAGTGGTTCAGACCTACCAGCCACTCCTCGGAAACCCTATACAGGTTGCTATGAGTTGAAACAACTCAACAGCACTTAACAACAAGAAGTTCAGTTTAAATTATAAGTTATGGGATGCTGTTAAACTATTTTTATTCAAGAAAATGGCAAGATCATATTCATATTGGATTATATGTGATTTCTTGTGAGCAGTGCAAAAATAAAATTATCCATCAAAATAATAATGAAATATCAATGTTAATAATAGAGACAAATTGTGAGGGGAGAATATTTTACAGAAATAAAAAGAAGTAAATGGTTGACACAGTTTGGGAAGTTGTTCAACTTTAAAAATGCAAATTTAAAAAATAATCAGTGTTTTACATGGTTCTAAGGAGTCCTGGTGGAGTCCTGGTGTGGTGCTGTAGGATAAACGCTTGACTGCAATGTCAGTTCGAACCACAAGGCAAACAGTTCAGATCCACCAGCCACTCCTCAGAAACCCAATACAGGGTCACTATGAGTTGGAACCAACTCAATGGCACTTAGCAACAATAAGGAATCCTGGTGTGACACTGTAGGATAAGCTGTGGCTGCTACCCAAAAGATTGGTAGTTCAAATCCACCAACTGTTCCTTGGAAACCCTATATAGGGTTGCTACGAGTCAGAACCTACTTAATAGCACTTAACAATAACAACAAGAAGTGGTCATAGAAAGCTAATAAGTATATTTGTTTCTATCTTATAATGCCAAAGAATTTTATTTTAGAGTTTGGACTGTCCATTAATATACAATTTCAGTTTTGCATATTGAAACACTGAATCAATCTACAAGAATGTATTTCAACATTTGGGATGCAAGTTTTATAAATGTGATCTGTTTGGCTAGGATATAATTTTATTGAAAAATATCAATTTCATTGGTTAAATACAGGGCATAGAAAAGCATCAGTTTATGTTTGAGATTAGAGAAGAAGACACTTAATATAATGTCTGGTATTTGCTAAATATCTTAAGAGAACAAAGTTGTTGTGAAGGGCTGTCGACTCAATTCTGACTCATAGCCACCCTGTATAGGGTTTCCAAGGAACAGCTGGTGGGTTTGAACTGCCAACCTTGTCGTTAGCAGTCCTATGCTTATCCTATGGTGCCATACCTCAACACCAAGAGAACAAAGAGTAAATAAAAATTAACCCTTCCTTTTCAAATTTTGCCCACAATTGGTAAGAGATGAGTGTGTAGCATATATTTTATTTTATTCGTAATTATATTAAAAATATCTAAACAGATTTTTCCTTAGCTGATTTAACAAGAATAACTTAAAGGTTATTGCTGCTACTCATGATTCAGAAGGAAGCCCAGTTACTTCATCACTTTCTGTTCATCCCTGGGTTCCATAGTATCGGATGCATTGTAAATGCTGCTATTAGATGCTAGAATAAATATTTCCTGTGTTGGCTGGATATAAGAATATACAAAAGAAATAAAAAATCAATAAGATTTCCATATGGTTTTAAGATTTTCATTTTATCTTCATTAGCATAATGCACATCTGTTGATGAGCAGTTTTTTCCCCTGATTCTATTGTTTTTGTTCAATGAAATTACAAAAGAAAAAAGAAGTTTGGATAAGCTTCTACTATTTGCCCAAAACACTGGATATGTGATTCCTTGCTACAGTATAGATAGAAATATTCCAATTCATACCCCTGTGCCTTCATATTTACACCATTACTAAGGTGCTACCTAAATGGTGCCAATACTTATATCCCTTTTGATATATACTTTAAAAGGTAAGTCCTTGTGTGGCAGTGTAGGAAAGTACTGGATCACAAGGTTGGTTTGAATCGCAAGATTGGCAGTTCAAACTCACCAGCCAATCCTCAGAAACCCTAAATAGGGTCCCTATGATTTGGAACCAACTCAACGGCTCTTAACAACAAATACGTCAAAAAGGAGTCCTAGTGTGGTACTGCAGGATAAGCACTCAACCAAAAGGTTGGTTTGAACTGCAAGACTGGCCATTCAAACTCACCATCCACTCCTTGGAAACTGTATATATGGTCGCTATAAGTTGGAACTGACTCGATGGCATTTAGCAACACCAACAACATATTTTAAAAGGGAGACTGGTGGGGCACTAGACTATAAACCACAAGATCAGTAGTTTGAGCCTCCAGAAGCTGCATGGAAGAATAATGGGGCTTTCTGCTCCTGAAAATATTTACAGCCTCTGAAACCCTGTACTGGCTCGCTGAGTCAGAAGTGACTCATTGGCACTTTAACTACAACATACTTTAAAAGATTTTTTTTCCAATAGCTCAATATGTTAGTTGTAGGCTCAGGTTACATATTTTCTGAGGAAAGAAAAAAAAAAAATGCAGCACAATTAGTCTGGAGATATTTATTCTGTCTATATAAATGTTTAGCAAAAGCTTTCTGGATAATGTCTGTTTGTCATTTTTTTTGTGTTGTAGTTGGCAAAAAGCCATTATTTAAATTAGCTTAGGCAATTGCATCTATTCTATAAAAGAGTTTCATGACTATGAAAACTTTAAATTAGACTTAAAAACTAACATTTATTTTTCATAATAGAAACATTTATATACATAACCATAATATAGAAATAATACTTCCATGTGTTAGCATTATCTGAAATTTGTATAATAGCCCTATTTATTATATATATCAGGTCACAAAGGAGTACCTAAAACATAGGGTATCAGGAGGAAGTTGACCAAAAATGTGTTCCAAATTTTGACATTTAAGTAACTTGTGACGCCGATTTTTTCTATGTGGTAACATGAGCATCAGTAATTTCTAATTCCCTAGCCATTTATTTGAAAATGATTTGAAGTTGTTGCACACTAAACACTAATATGATTAAGTCTAATACCACACCCCACCCTTCTTGCAGAGAAGCCTACCAAAATGATTCCCATGGGGAATAAAAGACTGACATTCCTCTTCAATTTGACTGCATTTCTTAATGAGCTACACAGAGAAGATAGAGAGCTTTTGAAGTGTAGTTCTTGCATTTAGTTAAGCAGAGTATACCCTGTAAAAATGCTCTTGGCCAAAAACTCCATTCGCCAAGCCATATAACCTATTTGTAGGGTTGCCTCTGTGTGGAGAAAGAATCACTGTTTTTTAATTCATATCCATTCTAACAGGGACTCTTTACGAGTCTGCTGTATCTTGGCTCCAAGGTCTTCCCTACTGATGGTCCACAAGTATCCATGATGGCACAGTGATGAAGTGTTCAGCTACGAGCTGAAAGTTTGGCCCATTGTCAGATTCAAAATGACCAATGCCAGTTCATTTCAGCTCACTAATGCCTAGGATATAGATGTTTACACATTCCATTTCATTTTTGACAATTTCCAATATTCCTAGATTCATACCTTGTACATTCCATGTTCAGATTATTAATGGATGTTTATAGCTGTTTCTCTTCATTTTGATTTGTGCCACATTAGCAAATGAAAGTTTTACTCCATTCGTGTCATCACAGTCAACTCTACTTGAGGAGGCAGCTCTTCCCCAGTTGTATTTTGAGTGCCTTCCAACCTGAGGGTCTCAACTTCCCCAGAATATTTGACAATATTCTGGTTCTCTTCATCATGTTTCAGTATTCAATATCCTGGTGCTCACACTGTTCCACTGTTAATCATATTTTTTGTGACTAAATATTCAGAAGTAGTCCGTCTCTCCTTCTTCCTAGTCTGTCTTCATCTGGAAGCTCAGCTGAAATCTAACCACCATTAGTAACCCTGCTGGTATTAAAAAATACCCATGATACAGCTTCTGAAATTACAACAAAATGCAAGCCACCACAGTACAACAAACTGAGAGACAAGTGGCGGTTGCACATATTTATTAGGTTTCTGAAGTGTAAGATGAAATAGTAACTGTCTTACAAGTAATTGTGCTTATAAGACAGTAAGCAAGAAGAATGCAGCATGGTAATTTTTAGTTCTTAATAATGTTCACTGTATCCTGATTCTCTCATCCCAGAAGAAGTAGAAAAGTCAGTTACCTGAAATCTTGTGAAAGGTCAGATGAGTAGCATGGATTTTCTTAGAGAACATGGCTATCATTAAGAAGTAAGCATTCCTAGAATGCCTGGGGTCTTTATCAGAGACAATTGCATGTAGGACTAAGTTATCCACAAAATAAGATTGCTTTTCAAAATTAAGTACAGAACAATGATGTACAACCAAATGACAAAATGTGCATGATTATGTACTGGAGATCCATTAGTGAGAGCAGATTCCTTAAATATGCAATTACAGCTTATCACTGTATATTGCTAAAATATAACTATTGTTCTTTATAACACATTTTCCAATTAATACCTTGTGAACCTGTGTTGCCATGTTCACATTGTAGTACAAAACTCCCCATTTCATTTTTCACAGTGCTGTAGGATAAGCACCGGACTACTGGCTGCAAGGTCAGCAGTTCAAATCTATCAGCTGCTCCTCAAAAATCGTATATACAGTCACTATAAGACGAAACTGACTCAACAGCACTTAAAAACATTAACAATATATAAATTTTGTTACATAAAATTATATCTAATAAGTTCTCATTGACCCAACTTAAATTAGTTTAAAATACTTATGAACATTTTAACAAATCCTGTGAACACCTACTAAATCCATTAAAGACAGATGATAACATTTCTTTCTATGTTTATTGACCCTTTTTAGGAGAAAGGAAGACAACAGTATCCTGCACAAAAATCATGAACAAAAATAACAGCATTGTGGACAACAAGAAATGCAAGTACTTAACCAAGCCTGAACCACAAATTCGAAAGTGTAATGAGCAACCATGTCAAACAAGGTAATCTCATTCAATCATCTGTTAAAGAATGGCTTGACCATTATATACTGGGTTTTTAAAGCACATTCAAGTTATTATTAAAATTGCATTTTCTTAACAGTAGAAGGAGATACGTTCTCAAATGTAGGTCTAAGAAATCAAGGTTAATTGTAGCAGTGGAAAATCTATTGGAGCAGGATTAATTTATTCGCCCAATAAAACATTGTCATTGAGTCAATTCTGACTCATGTTTTCCAGAGCTGTAAATTCTGATATGAGCAGAAACTCTCATCTTTCTCCCATGGAATGTTTGGTGGGTTAGTGTTCCAATGCTTATCCTAACCTCAACACCAGAGGTCCTCCAGAGAAGAAAGAGGAGAATGAAGTTTAATTATTTGGTAAACTGTAGATCACCTCTTTAAAAATAAGGCAATTTGATTGAATTTAACAATATCTTGATTGAGTTTTCTGATATGGTGTGTTGGAATTTACCAGGAGTTATATAAATCAAAACATGACTGACCTGATCCCAGGATCCAGGTAGAACTGGGACCCCTGGCACTGTAAGATCAGCACTGAACTGTGAACCACAAGGTCAGTACTTGAAACCTACCAGCTGCTCTTCAGAAATGCCATACAGGGTCACAACCTTGTACAGGGTTTGAGGAGCAACTGGTTTTGAGCTGCCAACCTTGTGGTTAACAGTTTAGTGCGTATCCTACAAAGACTTCTTATATACTGTGCAACAGAATGGAACTTCACCCAGTTCTTCATTGTCCTCATGGTTACCAGCATTTTCCAGTCCATCATTGCAACCATAGTGCCAGTCCAGCTCATCAAGGGTCTCCCTTTCCTTTGTGGAGCCTCTTCTTCTCTGAACGTGATGTCCTTCTCTAGTGAGGAATCCCTTCTGATGACATGTCCAAAGCAAACAAGTTGGACAGTGTTCTGTTGTGATTCATAGGGTTTTCATAGGCTTATTTTTGGAACTGGGTTGCAAAGCATTTCTTCCTGGATTATCTTCATAAGGAAGCTCTACTGATACCTGTCCAATATGGGTGACCCTGCTGATATTTGAAATGCCAGTGGCATAGATTCTAGCTTCACAGCAACAAACAGTCACATGGTGGTGAATGAAACATAAAATGAAGTGTAAAAGAGAAAAGTATACGAATCTATTCTCAATAGTATGCACAGTACACCTGCTTGGCTATATGTTCTCAGTCTAAGTAATAAGTGGATGAATTTATAAAGATTTCTATATGAGGAATCAGCTGAGAGGGTGAGGTAGAGAATTATTATCACCTACAATTAGGTGTCTGGTTGCTTTCCTGTTAGAGCTGGACAGATACATGAGCAGAGAATTTGGCCTTGGCCCTGAATCCTTACTATTAATCCTATTCCTAAGACTATTTCCCCTCTTATTTTAAGCATATAAATACTAAAATGTTAATTTGCCTCACTTTTCATAATTTATTAAAATATTTCAAATGACCACAAGAAAACCCCAAATTGCTTTAGGTCAATTCTAACTCGTCTGTAGAGTCAGTTCAGACTCATAGCATTCCTGTCTAAAGTTTCTGAAGAGTACTTGGTAGGTTTGAACTGCCGACATTGAGGGTCATAGTGATGGTCAATCACACCAAACCAAACTCATGGCTACTGAGTTGATTCCAATTCACAGTGACCCTATATTGGATTTCCTAGGTTGTAAATCTTTATAGGAGCAGACAGCCTCATCTTTCTCTGGCGAAGTGGCTGGTGGGTTCAAGCTGCTTATCTTGCTGGTAGCCCAACATATAATTCAGTATGCCACCAAGTCTCCTTCATAGTAACCCTATAATTGGTTTATACAATATAGTTTTTTCCAATTTATAAAAAGAACAACAGCTACTTCTGATACAGTAGGGAATTTACACCAGCTGGATCTGAGAACTAGAGCATATTTGTCACATCTGGGTCTGTTAACAATCAGTTCGCTGATCTCAGTTAGCTATCTTGCAGGAAAATGTCTCAGTAATGACTTGGTAAAATTAATCATTTTTAAAGATCAGTACCTTTCTGGGAAATTTTTGCAACAGGAGACTGAAAGCCTTTTCATTAGAGCATGGAAAGGGAGGTGATACATTCTGAACCACCAAGAGGCTATATCAGTGATGTTCACCCAAATATTGTGATGTAAGAAATGGACAGGTTGTTGGTTCCGACTCATAGTGACCCTGTATAGGGATTCCGTGGAGCAGCTGGTGAACCTGAACTGCTGATCTTGCAATTCAAATAACTTTACAGTTCAGCATATTAACCCACAGCACCATACCAGAACTCCAGAATTGGACATGGGTACATATAGTCATCATGTGAAAACTCTCTAAGACTTACAAACACAATAAAATATTTATATTTTCTTTTCCCCTACTGGAATAAAAAACATTCTAATTTTTATTAACATTTACTTAAAAGGTCATGAAAAGGGCAGCTAGAATCCAGTGTGCCAGATATAAACTGTACTGATTGGTGGTTAGTAAATATTTTTCTAAGAAGTAGTCTTACGGATAAGGAGATTGCTAGTGTTGTTGTTAGGTGCCATCTGATCAGTTCTGACTCATAGTGACCTTATGCAAACTAGAACAAAGCATTGGCCATTCCTACGTCATCCTCACTATCACTGTTAAGCTTAAGCTTAAGCCCATTGCTGGTGCCACTGTGCCAATCCTTTCATTGGGAGGGGTTTCTCTTTTCCCTGACCCTCTACTTTACCACGCATGATGTCCTCCTCCAGGGACAGGTCCTTCTTGATAATATGTACAAAGTATGAGAGATGAACTATTGCCATCCTAAGGAGCATTCTAGCTGTACTTCTTCCGACATAGATTTGTTTATTCTTTTGGCAGTCCATGGTACTTTCAGTATTCTTCTCCAACATCATAACTAAAATGCATTGATTCTTCTACCGTCTTCCTTATCCATTGTACATCTTTCACATGCATATGAGGTTATTAAAAATACACTGGCTTGGGGCAGGCCCACCTTAGCCCTCAAACTGACATCTTTTCTCTTCAACACTTTAAAAAGGCCTTGTGCAGGTTTGCTTAATGCAATACATTGCTTGATTTTTTAAAAATGTTTTATTGTGAATTATGTGATAGTTTACATGCGAGAACATTAGTTTTACATTCATCCTATCGTATATTGTTTCATAGCCATGGTTACAATCCCCTCCATGCATCATCAACCAACCAATGGGTATACACTACAAGCCTGCCCTGCCCCCACTCATCGGCACACAGCCCCTCTCCCTCTCTGTGTCTAAAGTCCCCAGCTGCTCCATCTCTCCATGTCATCATCTCTGCCTCCACCTCTGGTGTCACTGTTTCTTTGGGTAGGGTCCCTCACTCCACTCTTCTCCCTTGATGGTCCCAGGGACCTCTACTCCTGGACTGCAAAGTGAACACTCCCCTCCTTTTGCTACCTTTACATTTTCAACCCTCACAGTCAGTCCTGATAACAATTATTCACCATTGTACTGCATGAGTGCTATCCCTATCTCCTTTCATCAGCCCCGCCCAGACAGATTGGATACTCCTCAGTGGAGATTCTACTTTCCTCCATGCCCTCTGGATCTGTGCTCCCTCTTGAAAGTTTGTAAGCCAGTCACTTGCTTCCATAGCCCCACCATTTTGGGTAGCCAAATTGCCCATCCCTGTCTACTCTGTGTATGGAGGGGCTGGGAATGATCATCACTTGATTTCTTGACTGCTGTTTCCATGAGTGTTGATAGTGGATCTGAGCAAAAGAAGTCTCTGACAACTTCAATCTTTTCTTATTGGCCCGGTGTTAAGAATATTGCTATTGTTAAGTGCCATCGAGTCAATTCTGACTTATAGCGACCCTGTATATGGTTTACAAGGAGAAGATGGTGATCTTGAACCACCGACCTTGCAATCCAAATGACTTTGAAGTCTGATGCATTACACCAGGACTCCATATAGGACAAGTCAAAACAGATACATTTCAAACTACAAAATGTTTCTTCTTAATGAATTGTACTTTATATTTTAGATCTTATTTTCTCAGCAGCCTTCACAAGGAATAAAAAACGGCAACTTTTATTATTATATTAAGAATATATAAAATGTATTTTATTTCAAAAGTATGAGATTCCATGAAATTGGAAATGCTTCTCTTTTGAGTAATATCTTTTGACTTTTTGACTTCCATAATTCAGGGGAAAGTACTTAGATGGATTAAATTTTTTATTGTTCCTTGGATATTCTTGGGTGGAAATATGAAGTCACAACTATAGTAATTCTGAAGATATATATTTATTTTTAATGAAAAGCCACTAGGGGCCCTAAAGCAAAATTCTAGATTTGCATCGTACTTCCTAGAGCAGCCAACAAGAACTCTAATAGAGGCAGCATTAGATAACAAACATTATCATGAAATTTGCTCTTTTTCAGCAATAGAAACACAGAATCACTCAGAAGTATACAATTTTATATATGGGAAGTTAGTCCTGATTTGGCACTGTAGGATAAGCTCTGGGCCACAAGGTTGGTTTAAACTACAAGGTTGGCAATTCAAATTCACCAACTGCTTCTTAGAAACCCTATAGAGGGTCGCTATGAGTTGGAACCAACTCAATGGCACTTAACAGCAACAACAAAACATGGGGAGGGAATTCCTGTATGGTGTAAATAATGATTATCTTGCTCAGCTGCTAAATGGAAGGGTGGAGGTTCGAGTACACGCAAAGTTACCTTGGAATTAAATAATGGTGAAAATTTCTGAAAAGAAACCCTGTAAACCCTATGAAGGACAGCTCTGCTCTGGAATATGTGGTTGCTGTGAATCAGAATTGACTTAAAAGCTACTGGTCCTGAGAAAACTAGGTTACAAAGGATAAGAGACTCCTTAAGATTTTAATCATTGCCAAGAGTACATGGGTTTAAGTGAATTGGAAATAATTGAGGACATTTCTGTAAAGCAAAAAGAGAAACGTAAACCTCATTTCAATAGATGTTTTATGAGACGCTATTATGTCAAAAACATTATGAATACAAAAATAATAATACACTGATTTCTATCTTTGAGGAGCCTATATATTAATAAAGATGTTGTAGTTGTTTTCTGGTAGCATGGTGGTTACAAATCGGGCTGGTAACCTCAAGGTCAGCAGTTCGAAACGACGTGCTGTTCCATGGGAGAAAGATGAGGCTTTCTGCTCCTGTAAATATTTACAGCCTTGGAAACCCTGTACAGGGTCATTATGAGTCAGAACCGACTCCATGGCACATAACAACAACAACAACTTTGCAGTTAAAACCAACCTTGTGGTTGAGTGCCTATCTTACAGTGTCACACCAGAACTAATAAGGACAAGAAGTTCAAATTCTTTAGGAACTCTCTGAGCGCCTTTACTTCCCTGGTGGTAGTTGGGGTGGTGTGACATAGAGTCGGTTCCTGCTCATAGCAATCCTGTATAGAGTTTCCAAGGGTGTAAATCTTTACAGGAGCAGAAAGCCTCATCTTTCTCCTGTGAAAACGGCTGGTAGTTTCAAATTGCTGACTGTGAGTTTAGCAGTCCAATTCATAATCACTACTGCTATCTGAACTCCTTTCACTTCCCTAGGAATAGCTAATTAAGTGCCAAATGGGTGCTACAAGCTAGATGGTAGAGGGCAGAGAAGATCCAACCCTTTTGGTTGGATAGAGAAGACATTCAAGAAGGAAGGGGCTTGAAGCTGGCTTTTAAGGAGGTGGTAAAACATTCTAGTCAGTGGATCCTACATAAACAAATGTTATGAGGTAAAACTGGAGTCCAGATGTGGCACTGTAGAATCAATACTAGATTGCTAATCACAAGATTGGTGGTTCAAGTATACCAACCACTCCTTGGACAGCCTATACAGGGTCACTGTGAGTTAAAACTGATTCAATGGCACTTAACAACAACGATGAGGTATGAATAGAAGTTTGGGGAACAAGATGAACACATGGTTTATTTTATAAAGTAGTAGGAGATGAGACTATAGCAATAAGTATAAACAATTTACAAATTACTGCCACATGTACATTGTATATTATGTACTGACTATTGTATGTCTGTATAATAAGAAATACTTTTACAAATGAGAAAGTTGAAACTTATAGCTAATAATTATTGTTTAAAGAATGTGCACAGCTAATAAGGAACCCAGAAATAATCTCAGGTTTTCTCATGCACTCACACTGCTGAAATCAGATTCTGCAGAGTTTAAGGTGGGAGTGTGATGTGGGAATGCTAAATTCTCCTGTATGGCTAACCAGATAATAGGATAATCGGAAACCCAGAGTGAATTTTTATTGTAAAAAATATACAAATAACAAATTTTTGAATCACTTTTCTGGACTAGGTCTTGGTTTCTTCCTCAAATAAATTTGGGGAGATGCTTAAATTAGTGTTCCTAAGGTGGGTGGTTCAAACCCATCAGCCACTACTCAGAAACTCTATTTGTTGTTGTTGTTAAGTGCCATTGAGTCGATTCCGACCCATAGCGACCCTGTATAGGGTTTCCAAGGAGCAGCTGGTGAGCTTGAACCACAGACCTTGC